GGGAGGGGCGGCGGCGCGGGCCTGGGGCGCATGCGCGGCGTGCTCTGTCCCGCGGCCCACGTGGTCCCCGGTGGCGGTGGCTCGGCTCCGCGAACTTCGCCAGGTGTCCCTTCGCGGACTTCTTTTTAATCTGTGAAGGGGATTATATGGATGGGGTCCCACAACCCCGCCTTTTCTCCCGCTGCCTAGGCACTTCCGCTTCCGGCCGAGCCCGCGGCCCGGATCTCCACGCCCCCTTGTTCCAAAATGGCGGTTGTGCGCCCCCTTCACGTGGGCGCGGGCAGGGCGAAGCGTGGGGCCATCCTCGCAACGCCGTCTTTGGGCCTCTCCCTGCGGATCGGCGCGTGTGAGGCGAGTCCCTCGTGGAAGAGGGTCGCATTTTCGTGTTAAGCGTGTCCCCGCCGCGTGCGCACAGTTCCCTTACCCGGGGCTTTGCAGTCCCGACGATCACAGTATGGCGTGTTTGCCGCCCAGCTCTCCTCAGCGGGAGGCACAGACCCGACATCCTGTTCGATCCCAAACTCGGGGCGCCTACACCTACACTCATGTCTTCTCGGCGTGGAGATGGGGACCTGGTTCACCCGGGAGCCAGGGAGACAAGTTCCCCCAGGCCATGCCGAGTCCAGGCTCGGGGCCGCGCTAGTGTTGATGCGTGTGGTACTCCCAGAATGTTATAAGTCGGGGAGAGAAGATCGGCGTTTAAAACATTTCTCTTGTATTCCTATTACGGCTTGTGAGTGAGGAACCTTAGGCCTTTGGGAAGGTGTCGGGCTTGAGTCTTAAGCTGTCTGTGTTCAGAGGGTCGCTGGGATTCCTTTTCAACTCAGCCTAGAGTTGGGTAGGGGGTGGCTGGGTTAGGAGACAGTCCTGGAGAAGACGTCACGTTTCGGAGTGCCCACGGGGTGTCTGCTCATGTACCGCATAGCAGCACAGGCTGTGGAGGTGAGCAGACCTGGGTTCTGGTTCCCGAGTTTTACTTAGCTGTGATACTTTAATATTTCTGTGCTTGTTTTCTCGTGTAGTGACTGTCATTGATTTGGTTGCTGGGTTTCTGGAATTAACAGGGTGAGAGTAATGATAGTTGGAGTGAAACTTTGAGCACATGCCTTCCTTGTGGCAGGCACTTTGCTAAGCTCTTCCTTAGTTTTTCTAAGTGGATTCTTGTAATGACTCTTAGAGGCTGAAGTAATTTCTTTCCTTCCCTTTGCAGAAGAGGAAACAGGCTCAGGAAACTTAAAAAAACGTTTCCAGGTTTCAGCTAGTCAGAGACAGCTGGTATTAAATGGGGTAACATAAAAGGGTGGCTTGGCCTACATTAAGTGCCCAATAAGCAATATTTTTTCTTGTGAAGTAATCGCTGTTGTAATCTCTTGCTTGGAAGAAAGTAGACAGGCTGGCCTTTAGCTCAGATGGCGTCAGAGTTCGGAAAGGGCAGGACAAGGTGTTTTCCAAACGGCATTCTGCCAAGTTCCACACCTGGGGGTGGACGTGAGCGACATTTCAAGAAGAGAGAACTAAGGTTTAAAGGTTAGGTTGCTGTTGCGTGGTTTTATGCAGTTGGTAAGCCGAAAGGCTGAAACTGATCCTGAGCCTGTCTGGCTGCAGAACGATGTCCCGCAAGGCTGGACAGACAGGCAGGTAGAACTGATGGAGCCTTCCTGGGGGCACTTGGCAGATGTGCTGCTTGGTTTCTCCCTGGGTGTCTGCACTGGTACTGGGAAGCCCAGCCTTCAGCCCTGGCACATCCTCTGGGATGGTGGAGTTGTTCCAACAACAAGGTGGCCACAGCATTTTAAGCAACCGAAGCTGTCATTCTGTTCTCGTCTGTTCAGGATCAGTACGTGCGTTGGGGGAGCTACTTTTGCCTTAAGGGGAAGCTTTGCATCCGTGTTGCTCTGCCCATGGGTTTTTGTCTCTGTGGTCCAGCCTCCTCCAGGCTTCAGCTCCTACCTAGTGCCCCTGTGTGTCCAGGGAATTAGTTTTCTTGAGTGTGTCCTAGGCACCCAGCAGGCACCATGTTTTCTGTGTGTCTGTTTCAGAGTCTAGGGTGCAGGAAAGGGTCTCAGGTTCACAGCCTGTGCCTCTTCTCAGTGTGGAGCCAGAGGCCCAGAGCCTTGGGCCAGACAGAGCTCCGTGCTGTGTTCCTGTGCTTACCTACTTTGCACTGTTGCCTGTTCCCTCTTGTCCCCTCCTGGCTCCAGTCTTTGATTTTTTTATGTTTAATCTTTTGTTTTCAAGGAGGTAATCCCACTGTCCCTAGGGTTTCCAGCCAGACCCGTAGTGTCTGCCCGTGTCATGTTCAGGAGTGTTGCCTGATGCTTAACTGCACTTGCTAACTCTTCAGGGTTCACGTCTAGGCTTCGCCATTCCCTTGCTTTTTGGCCATGGGCAAGTCACGTGACCTTCTTGTGCCTCAGTCTCCCCATCTGTTATGTGAACCTCTAGCAGTGTTTTCTCAAAGTAGTAGAGATTAAGTACTGGTAAAACTAGCACAGAATGTGCTTTTAGGAAGCATCCTAACGTTTGCTACAGCTTTTTTCCTTTCTGAGGTGTATGTTTTTACTGCTTTAGTGATTCTGGAGTTGAAATTCATGCACAAAAAGTTCACATTTAATTGCATCAAAAATGCATAAGATAAAGCAGCACAGAGGAGGCTAAGGTCTGCTCTGACGTCCCCTCCTGTTGCCTTGTCTTTCCCCGTCCCCAGACACATGGTAAAGCTTGTGAGTATGTTGAGACACGTCTGAGGGATACTTGAGGAGTCAGTGCAACTTAAAACCAAAAAATACAGCACAACGTGGTGCTGGAGCTGCACCTCCTTCAGAGGGTGAAAGGTCTGTTGGGAGCAGAGGTTTCTGTGGTTTTGCTGGCAAGGCTGTGCGCAGTTTGTAGGTGCCACCTGCAGGGCAGGTGAGGGGAACCAGCTGCTGCTGGTGGGGAGCTCTGGAGAAGGCCCCCAGCCCAGCTCTTGTCCTTGGCTCAGAGAAGGTGGGGGTGTGCGGGGGTGGGCGGGTCGGAGGAGCGTGGTGCCTCCCCCTTCAGACCAGATTCAGAGTCGCCTTACCAGAGGAGGGTATTCTGCATTATTCACCTGGTGGGGAAGGGATGGGTTGGGTTTCCCTGCTTCCCAGGCACGTGGGAGCCTGCCTGGCACCCGACCCCGGGGCCTGATGGTGGGCTGTGGGGGCCAGCTGGTTGAGGATGTCTTTCCTGAGGGGTTGCTGGGTCCCTTCAGGAAAACATCATTGGGTCTCTTGATTCCCCAGCCTCTAGCCCTGCCCCTCTCAGGGACGACCCTGGGGTCAGGCCCCTCAGCCCTCGAGGGGGACCAGGAGCCAGCCTCCTCTGTCTTCTCTGGCTCCCCAGCTCCTCCTGAGCATCCTCAGGTATCTTACACCCCTGGGCACTTGCAGGCCCTGTCCCCTCAGGTAACCAGCTCCCACCCCTGGTCCTGCAGGGTCCTTGGACTCGCTGTGCTCTGTCCCCTCCTCCATCGAGCCCCTTTCCCTTGGGGGTGGCCTCCCCTGGGCTGGGGCATGGCCACCAGTGTGTGCGGGTGGGTTGGGCCGCGTCCTCCCTCAGCTCATCCTCTCCCCCCTCGTCCAGAGCGTGACAAGGAGAACCGGCACCGGAAGCGCAGCCACAGCCGCTCTCGAAGCCGGGACCGCAAGCGCCGCAGCCGGAGTCGCGACCGGCGCAACCGGGACCAGCGGAGCGCTTCCCGGGACAGGCGGCGACGCAGGTACCAGGGCACGGCCCAGCTGGGTCAGCCCGGGGAGGGGACGGGGCTGCATCCTGGGGCTCCGGCCGAGCTGCTCCTCTCTGCGCATCTGGGGGAGGGCTCTGCTGCCGTCTGTCTCCTTCAGTTTTCCCGTTTCTGGGGTTTCCTTTGGTTTCTGGGGGGGTTGTTGGTACAGCAGGTTCCAGGCGAGTCTGGAGACAGGGTGTCACTCTGTCTCTTCCTTTGTGAGGGGCTCCCTCCTACCCCGCCTCCAGCCCGGGTTCTTCTCTGTCCCCTCTGTGCTTCTCTGGGGCTGTCCAGGAAGAGGGAGTCCTTGGAGCGGGGCAGCACCTCCGCCCTGGCTCTGGGATGGCAGTTTTCTGTTCTTCTAACGCCTCTTCCCTCTTTGGCGCCCCTCTGTTCTCTCTGCCCCTAGGTGAGGAAGGCGGGATAGGTGGAAGTCCTCCTGCCTCCTCCCACCTCAGTCTCTCCAACTAGAGAGTGGTCTGTCTGGCCCTTCCTCCCTTCCTTGCGTTCTCCTGCCGGGGGTGGGGTCTGGGGGAAATGAAATGGCAGGGCCGAGGGGGCCTGCCCCAGCCCTGGGGCTCAGTGCCCTTGGGGGGGTGTGGCGTGTGGGGAAGACGAGGGTCCCCAGTCACCCCTCCCCATACCTTTCCCTCCCACCCCCCAGCAAACCTTTGACCAGAGGCGCTAAAGAGGAGCACGGTGGATTGATGTGAGCTTCTCTTCCTGCCCCCTCACCCCGACGTCCATGCCCTTGGCCTCCCGCCCCGCGTACCCTGCCCCGTCCTTGTCCAGCCCTGGCCCAAGCACTGGGGAGGAGAGTCCACCTGCCTTGAAACAGCACCCTCCCGGGGCCTGGGCGCGGCCCTAACCCAGATCCGCTCCCTCCTGGAGAGGGCTGAGCTGGGGGGGAACCGAGGGGAGCCTGGGGGTGCTCGCAGGCCCCCCTCTGGTCAGACTGAGGTTGCCCTGCCCCGCTCTCCCCTCCCCCCTCCCCCAGTCGTTCCCCCCGCCATGAGAAGAAGAAGAAGGTCCGTAAATACTGGGACGTGCCACCACCCGGCTTTGAGCACATCACCCCCATGCAGTACAAGGCCATGCAAGGTAGGCTCTGGCTGTGCTCTGCCACCCTTGGGCCCCGTCCTTGGGGTTGAAGGGTTGAGGGGTGAGGTTTGCACCCTGGGTCTTCTGCCTTCTGCCTTTTGAAGCTCTCATGGTAGGGTTGGGGCTGGGAGGAGGCCAGGGTGATGGCCTGGCTCTTCAGAGGTAGTGG